TTCTTCTTCTTCTTATTTACTGTCCGTCAATAACGAATGCAAAAATGAATCGATGCGCTCGGTATATTTAACTTTGAAATTTTCTAAATATCTTTCTTACGTGAATATTGTAAAATTCTTCTACCTATCTTTTTTTTTTTTTTTTTATTTCTATTATCGCATGCAAAAGAATCTATTTATTATAAGACACGCGTCTATTGTTTTATGCAAATATTGTAAAATTTTTATTCGAAGAAATATAATATTCTTTTTTTATTTTGCGTACCCTAAAATCAATTAACAATATGATCGTTCGTCTTTAAATGTCAGATCGTGGGTACAGATCGGGAAAATGATAATTTTCGTCGTTTCGTTGCAGAGGAGCTCGATATCGCCCGGTGATAAATATAGTCGTCCGCGTACACCGCAGGAGACGCATCATTCCCATCATTCTCAGAATCACCATGACCATCCCATGCACATCAAGAAGATGAAGAAAGAGCAGGACAAGGACATCGGTCATGTAAGTGTTTGCATTGCGTTATTTTGTTGATTTTATTAATCTTTTGATTTTATTTTTTCCCTTTCTTTTTCAATCAATGTATTTTTACCAAAAAAGGAATTGTATCCGGGATCGTGTCTCAGACAAGTTTTTGTTCGATATTTACGTGAGATTTTTATTTGAAATTTCGATCAAGTTGCATTGGTATCACACGTAGTCGTGACAATTCGATCGAATTTGAATAAATTTTTTCGACAGAAAGAAAGGAATCTTTTATATTTTGTCTTGAAAGGGTAAATTCTTTCGATATTTTTTTACGGAGAGATCGGAGATGCAACGAAAAAAAAAAAAAAAAGAAAATACTTTATACACACGATAATGAATGTTCAAGATGTTGTGTTTTTCATTTCGATTCGATCGAAGTCGATCAAATAATCGTAAGATGTCTACGTGTTGATTATTAACTCGATCGAAATTGGCATAATCAGATACCGTTGTAATTCCGATGTGGCTAACAAGCCACAAAGGAAACCGTGATTGAGACTTCAAATAAGATAAGACTGATTGGGCTCGCCAATATGTAACTTAGATTAGGCAGAAGAGACCGTGCAACTTCAAACACACTTCAGGATAAGAAACAAACTTTTTTCACGAATTCTTCGTCGGATAAAGTAAAACAAAAAAGCAGCTTCGTCGACTTCCTACCAGATGTCGCGCGAATTACATTTACAGCAAGAAATCTCAAGCGATTCTTGAAAAAAAGAAAACACAGATTTGAAATTAAAAACATTTAATTTATTCGTCATCAACGATCTCATATCGACTTACCCATTTTTAACACATTTTTATAACAATAATATCGAAGACCGAAAATACACCGCCACGTAAAAGTTTCCTAAAACAAAGAATTTCAGAGATTAGGAATTTCCATTGGACGCAAAATTTGCAAAATTGTAAAATAAAAGACGATCGAGAACCGAGCAGGTTGCGAAGTAATTCAATCTCGTTCGCGCAGAGCGACGGCGAGAAGAGCGACCAGGACCTCGTGGTGGACGACGCGAGCGAGGGGCCGACGAGTCCCGTGGTGAACGGCACGACGTCGCCCCGGGAGAACGGGCTGGACAAGGTGGCGCCCATAGGCGCCGGGGTGCAGACGAAGAAAGACGTGCCGCCCCACTCGCCGAGAAGCGGGACGAGCAGCAACGCGAGCACACCCTCGGCCAAGAAGATGGAGGAGCGCGAGAAGCCGACGACGCCCATCTCGAAACCCCTGACACCGACCTCCGGTTCCGCGATCGGTGGCGGTTTGAAGCCATCCGGCTCGGCCAAGCTGCTCCAGGGACCGCCGCCCCCCGGCGTGCCCAGCGCTTATCCACCGCACTACGCCCCGGGTCCACCCCCTCACCATCTGGCACCAGCTGGCCAGCATCCTCACGTCGACATGATGGGTTATAACGGCTACGTGGCGCCCAGAGCGCCACCTTCCCTCCAACAGCTCTACGATCCCCACGTGGCCATGAGGGCCCCCATGGGATCCGTCGGGGTGCCCGGAGGCAAACCGTAAGTGCCACTTGGCTCGCTGGCTAATGATGTTCCTCCAAAAATGTTGGAATTTAAATTATTCCTTTCTTTTTTTTTTTTTTTTTTAATAATGCTAGAAAGTTAGATTTTAAGTAAGGAATATTTTTTATAATAGTTTAGTTGGAAAATGTCCCGTTTATCTGGTCAGTTGATTACGGATCGTGGGATAGTAGGTGGTTTAATTTATCGATGGGATGATGTAACAAACTCGAGCGGTTTTTTGGGAAACGAATCTAGAGTGTGGATGAAGGCTAAGTGAGTGAAACTGTTTGCTTTCGCGTAGATTATGAAAAATTGTTTCGCGATAAGATAATTGAATTACGCGTTCTTCGGTATTTGATCGGGGGTATTAAGGGGAGAGGGAGGGGAGAATGTATGTTTGACACAATTACGCGTTGCTGTATAATGGCGTTGATCTCTCCAAGCAACCAGGCATTTTTTTTTAACACGTAACTTTTCACGTACAAATATATCTTGGTCCAATAATTTTAAGACCAAGTAAATCGCATTTAACGCGCGATTCGAGTGAAAATATAGGTTAACAACATTCGTTAAAGAGGAGAGAGATACTAGCAATAAAAATATACTATATTTTATATTTTAACGAAAGATCGAAGCCCCGATATAATATGCTTTCTGTTTTAACATTGTTTGATATTCGGTCTGCTTGCCAGGCCTCGTTATCTACGCTTTTGTTTACTATGAAAATTCACCCAATCCCCTTGTTTATTGCAGCCGCGGACGGTTAAAATACGTTATCGATATTTTTATTTTAGAAACAGATCTCGGTTACCTGGAAATTAAACGCTAATGGGAAATATTAAGATACAAATCGTGCGATTATTTCATCACGTTCTTTGATTTTTCGAATTCCTATTATTCTCCCTAGAAAAGAAGATCTAGTCCGCGTTTATTTCATTTCCCTCCTCATCTTCTATTTTCAAAATTTCAACCTTCAACCTCTCAATCGACATTCGAAATCGCGCGTGGTAAAAAAAAAAAAACTGTATCGACGAACAAAACTCCAGATCGATTTTCCACGAGAGAGAGAAAAAAGGGAAACAAGTTAAAGTCACCAAAAATCCCCCTGTCCCTCGGTTAACTTTTTCCCAGTTTCGTTGGAGAGGGAAAATCGAATGGGAGCGAATACAACACGGAACAAACATCGGATAGAGATTTTGGCAGACGCGTGTTCACCGAATTTTTCTCCGTGTTTCAGCGCGTACAGTTTCCACGTGTCGAGCGAGGGCCAGATGCAGCCGGTGCCCTTCCCACCGGATGCGCTCAGCGGGCAAGGGATACCGCGTCATGCGCGGCAAATTAATACCCTCAGCCATGGGGAGGTGGTGTGCGCTGTCACGATCTCGAATCCGACCAAATATGTGTATACCGGCGGCAAGGGATGCGTCAAGGTTTGGGATATAGGGCAAGGTGGCACAGGTAGCACCAAGTCCGTGTCCCAGCTCGACTGCCTTCAACCTGACAATTACATCAGGTCAGTGCTCTTCCGTTCTTATATTTCACTCTCTCTCTTTTTATACGCTCGAATTAAACACGCAAACAATTCAAACTTCCTTAGATCATTATAAGCGTTTAATTATTTATTATTTATTTATTATTTCAATTTTTTCCTTATTGCGATCAAGATACTCGTTTATATATATAGATACACTGTTCAAATACTGTTCTAAATTATACTACTATTTTCTGGGGGGGGGGGGAAAAGAAGAAGAGAACAATTATATACCGCTATATACGATTAATTTGAATAATCCAGAGAGCACACCTTTGGAAACGCGTTCTTACAATAACACGAGGCACGATCGTTGAAACAAAATTATGTAAACCCCTCCTCCTCCTCNCNC